GGGCGTGACCTCCTGCCTCCAACCTCCTTCCTTTTTGAGCAGGTGTGACGCCGCGCGAGCGACGCTCCGAGCTCGCCCGAGATAGCGCGGCGCGGCGGTGGGTGAGGTGGGGCGGGGTGGAGAGGCGTGGCGTGGAGCTCCGAGATCGCCCGAGATCGCGCGAGATCGCCCGAGATCGCGCGGCGCGGCCCGAGGCGAGGTGGATGGGTTGGGACCGGGGGCGCACAAGTGCTCAGTGCGGTAGATCGGTCAGTCGGGGCGCGTGAGCCGGACTTGTGAGCCGGACGGCTTTCATTTCTCTCTGCGTTGTTGAGCCAGGACTCAACATACTCGTTCTGTTGCCGTCCCAAACTGTCACTCCCCTTTCTCCCGGCCGGGGCGGGGCGCGCGCGGGGGCGGCGGGTGTGCGGCGAGTGTGCGGGATGTCTGTGGGCCCGAGAGCGATATGCCATGTCCGCCTTGCGTTGTTTCATAACATCGAAGGCTAAGCTCAAAGAAATTGCAGGTTCCTCGCGGCGGTCTTTGTGAGCACGATTGCTGACACGCCCTGGCGGCTCGCACGCCCATGGGCTGCGGCGAGAGCAGACCGGACGAGCTGGAAGAGGAGCAGAGAGAGCAATACGCGCAGGAGAGGCAGCTGACGTCGGAGAAGCAGCCGGTCGGCAAGCTCGATCTTGACGACAGGATAGCGACAGACGATGCCGAGGACGAGGAGAAGGGCTATGCTGCCGGTACGTCAGCTGCGCTTACCGCCGCCGACCACAAGGGCATCCCGCTGCTGGCGGCCCTCGACGAGGCGCTCGTCGCCGCCCTCCGCTCGGGCGCCATCAAGCTGCTCCGCACCGAGTTCCTGCGCGCCGACGGCTCCGAGGCGGTGCTGCCTAAACTCCTCCGCCGGCAAGAGCTGGAGCGAATGGAGAAGGAGCGACGCATCCGCATCTTCCTCACGCCGAAGGAGGCTGTTGCGGCGCTGCGCTCGCTGAGCCGCGAAGTCGCCGGGCTGACCTACGGCTGGGCCTCGCCGGACCACCCCGACGTGACTGGAGAGTATCTGGCGAACGTGCGGCGCTTCCTGCGCCACCCGCTCGGCGAGCACGTGACCGCCCTCTTCTGGGAGTGCGCCGCCGCCCCAGACCCACCCCAGACCCAGTGGCTGCGCTGCGTGGGAGGACAGGCCTTCCCTCTGCGCCCATCCCTCACTTGACGCTTCTCTCACACTCTGCCGCCCCCGCCCCCCCGTGCGCCTCCCCTCCGCAGCTTCTCCTCCCTCCCGCAAAAGCCAAGGACGGCGGCCGAGGACGAGTTCTTCTATCAAGCGCTCAAGGTCCGCGCCGCCTTCTCCCCGCCGCCCTCTGCGCCCGCCGCTCTTCTACTCCCCACTCTCTCGCCCGCACACATGCCCGTGCTTCTCCTAACGCCTCCCCTCTTCTCGCCCCCCGCAGGTCATGGGCGACGTCTACGCCTCTCTCTTCGGCACGATCGTCATCCGCCACCGCTCCGTGCCAGCCCGCCCGGCGGAGCTGGATGGCGAAGTGGTCATCCTCGTCGAGAAGGGCGGCGGGCTCGACGGCGCCGGCGCCGAGGCAGAGCTGCGCAGAGCTCTCGGGGCGTTTGAGAACCCGCGCTACGAGGAGGGCCGGTGGCGCGTGCGCTTCCCAACGCACGCGGCGGCGGAGGAGGCGGTCGAGGCAGCCTCTGCAGCAGAGGGTGCGCTGCCGGGCGCGATCGCCGTCTTCCTCTTCTACAACAGCCGCCCTTACCTCGATCGCGGGTGCGCACCCCGCCCTCCAGAGCCGGGGGGGGGGGTGTCTTGGAGCGGTGGGGGGTGTGGAAAGCGCTGAAGAGAGAGGCGTAGAGGGAGGGGTTTGATCTACGCCCGGACACTGAA